TCCGTCTTATTTTTGATGAAAAATACTCTTCTGAATTTAGTAAAGTAGTCTTTGAAAACCAGGCAGTAGCGACTTCCTCCTAGAGAAACGTTTTCCATAGGACCACAGAGATCTCCACTTACTATTTCTCCTGCAATTGTTGGCTTTACAGTCCGAGAATGGTATGTAGCTCTGTGTTGCTTGCCTAGTACGCAACCTTCACAAGATTCATCTTCTACCTTGACATGTATTCCCCTGTTTTTAAGAGTTTTTAACACATGTGTCTTATTTTGATGAGCCAGAGATTCATGCCACTCTTGAACGGTTTTCAGTTTTCTACTACACGCTGTTTTAGCTTCTGCATGCGGCAACAGAACATCCATTTCAACTTCATAGAGTCCATTTACACAATGTCCATACAGCTGTGCAACGTTATTCTTCATAAAGACACATTTTTCTTTAGTTACTTTGAAACTAAATCATTTCTTCACTGTTGTGCTGACTGACATCAGGTTCCTTCCTAGCTTGGGAACGTACCATACATTCTCTAAAGTTGTGATGTATCGGTTCTTACCAATATTCACACTTACTAGAATACTACCCAACTGCCTCAATATCATCACCATTTCCCACAGTGACGTTAATTGGTAATGTAAACCTCTGATATGTGTGAAAGAAGTCCCTCCGGAAACACATATGCTGCGATGCTCCAGAGTCTGCAATAAAGTTGTCTTTCTTGTGCTCCTTTGCTACAAAACACAAGAATGGACCACTGTTACCTTTTTCTAGGCTCAGTCTTGTTCTTGTCTTCTTTTTCTGATTTCTTTGGACACTGACTAGCATAGTGTGGTCCCTTACAAATAAAACACTTTATTTTCTTCTTTATAGAATGCCTTTTGCCTTCTGAAAAAGAACTTTTGCTATTTCTACTAACCTGTAAGGCTTGTCCATTATCAGAATTCATAGACCTAGGTAGCCTGGACTCAATCAGACAAATTCTCTCTATTAGCAAATCAACACTTCTGTCTTTCACTGGCATGCTTTCCCACACACTCTTGAACTCAAAGAATTCTTTAGGTAGTGTACTCATAATCCTTGACATCAAAACAAGTTCTGGCAGTTCTAAAGCTTTATGCTTTTTAAGTTCATCATTCATTTCTCTGAAGTTTAACTGCAATCTTGAGATATATTTGACCAAATCTTCTCCATCAGTTATACTAGATGTAAAGAACTGTTCCATTGTTCTATCTAGTCTCTGACTTGATGATTGTTCATATATACTCAACAGCTTCTGCCACATTTCATGTGCACTATCACAAGTAGCTGTTAATTCTACATGTGAATCATCTAGAGCATTTTTTTTTTTTTTTTTTTTTAAAGAGGTTGGCGGCCTCTTTTAACCTTGCATTTGCCCATCCACATAGACTAAGCGCCCGTGCGTGGATCGTTTACAGCAAAGCAAGGAGTGAGCCAGTACAGTACAAAGGTGAACTGTACTGATAAAATGTTATCGGCAGTGACCAGGATCCGAACCCACGACACTACTGCCTTGGGCCCGAAGTCCGCGACGCTACCGACTAAGCCACCGACTCACTTACAATAAGTACCTGAGCTAAGGTGTCACCTTTCTTGAAATCCTTAAGCTTCTGCTCCTCTGTTTCTTCAGGCCTTGTCCTTTCACCAGTAATCAGATCACTAATTCCATGATGTCTCAAAACTAATTCCATCTGGCGTTTCCACCTTCTCCATGATTGAGAATTGCTTAGTTTTTCAACATTCACTCTTAAATCCATGCTTTTAATATTTTCTGTAGCCCATAACCAAATAAAAACAATAAAAGTTGGATAAAGAATTAGTTTTATTTTATTTAACAAAGCCCATGTTATGAGTAGAATGATAATCATTTGTTATTTTTTTTTATAATAAACAACACATGTTTTTAAAGAATATTCATACCAACTTAACTCACAGGCTCTCAGGTTTCAAAATCTTTTTAATTGAGAAGGAAAGGAAAGAGGCCCCACGACGTAGGAAGTGGTGAAGGAAGTAGTAAAGGCTGGCAATGCAGAGTGCGGGGGAACCGTTTGGGCAGTTAGATAAATGTATTGAATACTTAAATGGTATGAGAAGGGACGGAAACAGGCCCCACGATGTAGGAAATGGTGAAGGAAGTAGTAATGCTTGCAGTGCAGAGTGTGGGAACTGTCTTTGGCAATTACACTAATGTATCTGCAATCCTAAAATGCTATGGGAAGAGAGGGAAACATGTCCACGACGTAGGGGGTGGTGAAGCAAGTAGAAAAGGTAAGCCGTTTTGATTGTGGGAATGGATTAATGTATCTGCAATGCTAAAATTCTATGGGAAGAGCCTGTAGACTGTAGGTTAAAATGAATACGAAGCATGAATCGATACATATTTTGATACATGCAATCGTTTACAATATAAATTTACAACTGAGTTGACAACAGATGATTTTTACTCCGTAGAGGCTAAAAACGATTTTTAATCCCTAAAGAGTAAAAATGCTACTTTAGACCCGCAACGCATGTATTAAAAACGACTGTTTTTACTGCAGTATGACAAAAACAATATAATATGAACCCTTGATGACTCCGCTCAATTTTTTGGATGCCTCTGCGAACGCCACCTAGTAGTATTTACGTCTGACTTCAATTAATATTTTTTTCACTATTTACATTCTTCCATAATGTAAACATTAAAACTTTGGAAGCCCATGGGGCGTAGCTCAAGGGGAATATAATAACAGGAATAGGCCTATATGTTAACCAGGTATACAGGGTGTCCGGTCATAAGTATTAAATAAAATTTTGCATCAAACTACATGGTAATGGCGACATAATGACGCACATTTGAGGTTCCCAACCTCAACTGTTAGGGAATAACAAATTAATTAAGGTTTTCCAAAAATTATTGTAGTTATTATGAAAAAGGTTATATTACTCTGTTTTAAAAATGCACTAATTGTTAATTTAAATGTCATTTTCAGAATCCTCACAAAATTTTAAATAGATATAACACATAATCGTTGGGGTACGGAAAAATATCCTACTTAAATTTCTTTGTTAAACAATTATTTTTAATACTGTACCGACGAAAATTTAAATAACATTTAGCAATTTATTTCTCGGTTACCGAGTTCCGCTGAGTTTAACAAATATTACTAAAAACTTCCTTATTTAAAGGGCTTTACAATGGTGTAATATAGTTTTGGCCAAGTTTCAAATTGCCTAATGTAATTCAATCATTGTTGTGAAAAAACATGGTAGGGCAAAGAAAAGCTATTGTGAAGATTAATACATTTAAGTGCAGGCAACGAATAATTTGTATTTCTTTCTCGCATGCAACGTTTTTTATAACTACTAAGCTAAGAAAAGAAACATATAGTTGTAAAATGTGTTTGTGATTATGTTACGGTTATGGTATAATTTTCATATTTCAGATAAGATTTCAATTAACTCGCGGAAGTTAGGTTGTGGCTATACCAAAACTACCCGAAATGGATTAGACGTGGAGGAAGTGACATGGCCTCCTCGATCTCCAGACTTGATCCCGTTAGATTTTTTTGGGGGGGTTACATGAAAGGACTAGTTTACTCAACTGTTGTAAACTCTGAAGTTGAGTTACGGGAGAGAATCGTTGAGGCTGCTGGGAAAGTAAGGGAAAAATTGACGTATGAGGTCACAGTTGGCGCAATTCAAAAGCGAGCTAGGGCCTGCTTGCGGGAAAACGGAGGGCACTTTACACCCAAACTGTGATTCCACCTTAATAAAAGTTGTGCTTCGGACGAAGTATGTCATTGAATTGATTTTTATTGTGTGTTTTTACTAACGTATTGTGGTTTTTTTATAACAAATTTTCCAAAGTCCAAACAAAAACTCTTTAGTGTGATGAAAGTGTAGTCTGGTCAATCATAAATTACACAAGCCCTCATCATCAATGGCCAGCTCATAAAATAGTAAGTAAAATTCATTATTTTTTACAATATCTGTTTTGGTTAAACCGTGATTTTTCACAATAGTGCTTAAAATTCACCATAGATTTGACAGTAGGTAAATGTAGTTATACATTATTGTAAAGCCCTTTAAATAAGGAAGTTTTTAATAATATTTGTTTAACTCAGCAGAACTCGGTAACCGAGAAATAAATTTCTGAATGTTATTTAAATTTTCGTCGATGTTAAAAATAATTGTTTAACAAAGAAATGGAAATAGAATATTTTTCCGTACCCCAACGATTATGTGTTATATCTATTTACAATTTTGTGAGGATTCTGAAAATGACATTTAAATTAACAATTAGTGCATTTTTAACAGAGTAATATAACCTTTTTCATAACAACTACAATAATTTTTGGAAAACCTTAATTAATTTGTTATTCCCTAACGGTTGAGGTTGGGAACCTCAAATGTGCGTCATTATGTCGCCATTACCATGTAGTTTGATGCAAAATTTTATTTAACACTTATGACCGGACATCTGTATAAGCTACCTTCATACAAAATTCTATTTCAATCGGTTCAGTGGTTCTTGCGTTATTAGGTAACAGACAGACACACACACAAACACACACCATCTCATTTATATATATTAGTATAGATATAGATAATTCAAATTCTACGCATGCTATCGTATTAAAATTTGTTTGGGGGCTATATGATTCATCGCTTACTCAACTTAATATTACATACCAGTAGTTACACTTACAGTAGATTATTATCACTATACTTCCTGTTGGTACACTTTCTCTGGGTTCAAAACTTTCAAAACTTAAATCCTTTTGTTGTTGGACAGTCTATAACATGTCGAGGTAAGGTCGCTAATTATTTCCAGTTTCCACATAATTCTTACAGGTTCGATAGTGTTCATAATGCTGTAGCCTTGTTTATAAGTTGTGTAGCTGAGTGTTAAACACTAAACTGTCAATCCTGAGAAAGGGGGGGGGGGTGTTTCACGACGTCCGATATAAAATATTTGACTGCTCTTGGTGTGTTGCTGTCAGGTGGCTGTGAATGGTCAGCACTACCTCTCCTACAAACACAGAGTACCTTTTAAGGATATCTCCAAAATACAGATCCTCGGACATATAACTCTGGACAACGTCATCTTCCAGACCTCTCCTGAGTACCCTTCCCCTCTGTCGCAGGTGGGTAGATTTGCCGTGTGTAGATAATTGATCAAATTGAAGTACCATGTCTAATATCATGTATGTTGCAGTGAAGTTTGCAATGGTGCACCACTTATAATGTTTTTGTATAATGTAGTAAGTTAGTAAAAAAAAATTTAATTGACACCATTATATGTACACATGTATTAAAAATTAATAAAGCTATTTTGAGTCTTGAATCTTGAATCTGCGTACGAATCTGCCTGTTGCCAAAGCGAAATTTGAACCGGAAGTGTAGTATCCAAGATGACGTCCAGACCCTGTTTGCTCCATATCTCTCTTGGTAGTTGGCCTATAATAATGGTTTAAACATCTGATTAGGGGTTTTCTGGGATGCCAAACACATTGCAACACTCAAAATTTACTTACATCAACTTTTGGGGGCATATGTTCCAAGATAGGGTTATTACCAATCTAAATCGTCTTTGGTACTTAATTTTATATAATATGCAGTCATTTCAACATTATTACGAGTCATATTGGATTTATGCAATTATAAATTGTTATTCCATACGGCATTATCACTGCGTAAAAATATGTATAAGTAAATATGATACTTGTAAGTAAATATGATATGATAGCATTTAATGACACAGACAAAAATTGTAAATACTTTTTTACCTGTACTTTAATTTGATTACAGCATAGTAAAACATCCTGTCCTGATTAAATTCTTTACTTTTGTGCGTACTGTGTACCTATGAATATTGTTAACACATTAGATTGCTTATATCTCAGTGTATCGCAGAAAAGACAAGAGCACTTTTGTTAATGAAAATGTTAACCGGAATAAAGTTTGCAATGGTGCACTACTATCCAGTGTGTGAAGTAGCTTTCAATAATACCTTAGGGCTATGCACCGTAGATCTATATAGTGTTATATAGTCAATGCCACAGCACAGCTGACGGTCTATAGTTTATTATTTTTGTCTAAGGTTCAGGCTAAGAAAAAGAGTATTTTTATCTGTTCTAAAACAATAAATCTTAATCAGATTTTTATTTGATCAAATACATTTGTATTTCAGGCAAAACCTGTGGAAGGAGGGCAGACAGATGTTGAAAGCGACACATCATGTTGGAACATCATGCTGGAGCCCAAGGTAATATGCTGATCGACTCCCAAAGTCGTGGAGACATCTTCATCGTTTTCCACAATCACTGCGTAGTTGTGAGTGACGTGAATATTTTCCTTGGTCACGTATACATCATCTCTGTCTTCCGCGGTCCCGACAAAATCCGGAATACCGCTCAGTGGAAACGAAAACATAATCATCTTCTCCCGCAATGGAAACCAAATGCTCTTGCGTATGTGTGGACATCATCTTCTCTGGCATTCACGGAAACAATATTGCCGTCTTCAGCATTCCCAGAAAAATTCTGGTTATCTCCCGCAGTTGTGTAGATATCATTATCGTCTCTCGGGATCGTGGCAAAATTCTGATCATCATGAAATGGTTGTTGTCACCTGCGATCGCGGCAACACACAAATATTATAACAGTATCAATCATAAACATAAACAAATTACGTCACTGGCCTGAATGCCTATACTAACAGATCAGAAGGTATGACAGTTCCTTTTAAATATTAATAATACCCCCGGGGCAGCAAACCTGCAGACTAAGCCAATTTAAATTTGTCTTTTTTGATTTTTACAAAAATATACAAGACCATATTTATTTTCCTCTAAATTACATTAGAGTTATCGAGTGCTTAGTTGCAAAATTTGTACCAGACAAGAAAGCGAGCTAATAAAAACGTTTTAAGAGGATATTGGTCTTACCGTGTCAATATCTACTTCCCTATAGAGCAATTTGCTAAAATCATGTTTATTTTCGGACCCATCATTTGTTTATATTTATATGATCCACTCTGCTTTCTGTTCTAATATTCTTGCAGCAACAGCAATAATTTTTGATTGGATGATCTTCATAGATACATTGGGTATTGGTATAGACTTTTGATGATTGATTCTCGATACCGATACCAATGTCCAAGTATTGATGATATCGAAAATCGGGATTCAGAATCGACACATCCCTAGTTAATATGTTGTATATCTTAATTTTTGTCATTGTATACTAAAGCAACCAACATGTTACACCCATTGACGAAGATATAAAAAAAATATCTTCAGTAATATTTTTTTAGGTTACCCCTATGTCTTTTTATGTTGTAGTAGGACCTCAATAAATTCAAACAATTGGCATGTTCAGTGATGTTATCTTGAAAATAAATACTAGTATATAATAGGTTACGTACCTTGGTCCGTCTTCAGTCTTATTTTAGTCAATGGATGACTAGTTTCGGGTACAAAGACCCATTGTCAAATCCTTTTCAAAACATCATGTAGAAGCTGGTCAAAAATCCGACGGAAGTCTTCATCATTATATAAATACAGGTTAACACATAAAGTATGTGGCCGGCCTATCAATCGTCTTATATGTTTCGTAACTTGTGTTTTTTAAATAATAAACTTTAATGATGAAGACTTCCGTCGGATTTTTGACCAGCTTCTACATGATGTTTTGAAAAGGATTTGACAATGGGTCTTTGTACCCGAAACTAGTCATCCATTGACTAAAATAAGACTGAAGACGGACCAAGGTACGTAACCTATTATATACTAGTACTGTATTTATTTTCAAGATAACATCACTGAACATGCCAATTGTTTGAATTTATTGAGGTCCTACTACAACATAATACCCCCGCCGCAGCAAACCTGCAGACTAAGCGAATTTCCATTTGACTGATTGGATTTACACTGAAATGTCTACTTAAAAATATAACATTTATTCTCTATTTAAATAGAATTAGTTTAACTAGTACTTAGGTTTGCTGCATCAGGGAGAGTAAAACTGTTTTTTTTTTTTTGTAAAACGTTAATAGTTAGTAAGAAATAAAAACATTTTCCAAATTTGATCAAAATATGTTCATAAACAAGCAAACTACAACAATTTACTTATTCTCCATAAGAATAACATGGGAATTTTAAATTTACAATTTTTGGGAATTTTCTCCGTAACCATTAGGCGCATAATAACGCTTCAATATACCTACTTAATTATTTATATACTTAATATACTTATATATAATTATATAATTATTATTATACTTTATATAATTATTATATACTTAATCATTTTTTTAAGCTCTACAAAATGGTTTGGAAAGAAATTGCTAAATTTTATGTTTTTTGGGTCAAAAATGGGAAAAACCTATTTTTATCCCATAAAACCCCCCGTAAACCCCCGTTCCCATGGTCCGATCATGCTGGATCGCGAACTCGTTCGAATAAACGTAGGTTTACACGTTTGTACCAAATTTCATCAAAATCGGATCATTTTTCCTCGAGTTATCGTGCTAACGGACACATATATATATATATATATATATATATATATTATATAAATATATAAATATATAAATATATAAATATATATATATATATATATATGAATTTGAACGGATGGTGTTTTTGGCCTCTAGGGACCTCAAAATGAAAAAAAAAAAATCGGTCCCGCGTCCAGGTCTTACCATGAGTACTACGGTAATAGCTTATTCCCTATATGGGAAATTCGCTAAAAAGACATAGGGGTAACCTAAAAAAATATTACTGAAGATATTTTTTTTATATCTTCGTCAATGGGTACCCAATCTTCTTTGTACCCGAAACTAGTCATCCATTGACTAAAATAAGACTGAAGACAGACCAAGGTACGTAACCTATTATATATTCGAATATCAGTCTTGGTGGCAAAGATGTTTAAAAATAAATACTAGGAAATGGAACAGTAGCACTTAATGGGTTTTACGCTATCATTAATATTGTTAATGTTATATCGTGTTTAATAAAGTATTTGTTTTTAGGGTATATTTGCTGTATACAATCTGACGTCTCAACTGCAAGCTCTCTCCTCTGTTATAGTTGAAGGGATGATGAATGATTATTCTGATAGGTAAGATGCACTTTTAAGCAGTAGATTTTATATTTATACAAAAGTCATATTTTCAAATCATCAGTTCTTATACACTTAAAAAGGTGAAATAATTAAGGATTTATTAGATTGTCTGAGAAGCTGAGTAGGTAGTGCTTGCCTTCAAATCTGAATGTCGCTGGTTTTATCCTCAGCAAAGACAATTCTGGACCCTGGTGCCTTTTAGTTACTTGGCTGTTAATTATTGATGCAAACTACAAGTAGGATAGTTACAAGATCGGTGTTTTATTTTCCTTTACAAAAAAATATAACAAAAAAAAATGTTAATGCCATTCTTGCCGTGGCTTCTTTTAAATTTTTGTCTACTGTTAAGGCATGGTGCTTAAAACAATTTTCAATTTCACAAATGAATTAATCTTTATTTAGATCACTAGAGTACAGATCGGCCAATTCCAAAGCTTTGCTTCTCAATTCCACAGGTTAAGTGTAAGAGAGGGCCATGTGGCCCTAACTTTGCCTGTTTAAATAAATAATTTTCATTTCATTTCCTGTAACTGAATTTTCTAAATAAAAATAAAATTTTTTTAAAAACAGTTTGAAAAAGCTTAAGAAACTAAAAAATTTAAAGCCAGTTTCTTTTCCCGAGGAAAGGCTCCTGGACCCCCTGGTAGATCTTGCCACCCCAGTTAAAAGTCTGAAATGACGTCCATGGGGGTGGGGCCCAAGTTTACATGTGCCTAGGGGTTGCTGAGATCATAATCCGCCATTGCATCCGGTCTATAATTTCTAGCATAGCTGTTTTAAATAAGTCCTCTAAACTTGATAGTCCAGGCAACAAAAGGCTATACATAGAGGGAAATAAGGCAGTGCCATCATAGACACCTATGACCGCTTCCAAGTCATAAATATCTCCCGTGGGTCACTTTACAGGGACATCATCATCGACACCCATGACCATGTTGAATTGTGAACATTTCCTGTGGGCTATTATTACGGGGAAATCATCATTGTCACCCACGATCAAGGAGAAATTGTGAACACTTACCCTAATCTAGGGGTATATTGACACCAGGACAAATCGTGAACATCTCTCACGGTCCGTAAACGGGGGACATATAATCATTGACACCTGTGACCGCGGCGATATCAGGACATAAATAATGTAAAAATGTTCAAAAATAACACCTCCTCTCCTATTGTAACAAACAAACATTCCTCTAACGTATTAATTCTCCATCAAAATATCCAGCATTTTTCATCTCGTACTTTATCCCTTGAAATTATTTTAGACGAACTAAAGCCCCATTTTGTTATTCTTAGTGAACACAAGCTCAATAATGATGAAATTAGTTTTGCACACATTTCTAACTATAATATTGTAAGCTATTACTGTAGGAAAACCTACTTAGGTGGAGGTGTTATGATTCTTTCTCGTGACTGTAACCATATTAAAGTAAAAAAAATTATAATTCCTGCAGTTGAAAATTTGGTTAAGGATAAGTATTTTGAATGTTGTATGATTGAGGCGAGAGTTAATGATTTCATATTTTTATTGGTTGGTTTGTATAGAACTCCAGGATCTGTATACGAAAATATTTTTCTTGAAAAATTAGATAGTTTGTTAGGCCTTATTTTTGAGAAATATGAAAGAGTAATTGTGGCTGGAGACATTAATATTAACGTTCTTAAGTTTTCCAAGGGCTATCAGATATTCAATAATATTTTAAATGAATATAATATGCATTATTTGGTAGACTTTCCTACTAGAATAACATTAGAGGGTGAAAGTGGTATTGATAATATATTTACTACAATTCCTAAAAACAATCTTTTAGTATCAGGCCTAATCACTGAGCTCTCTGATCATGACGCTCAACTCTTAGAAATTCGGGACATCTCTTCTAAACAAAAGTTTAACAAACCTACTATTAAATCTATTAGAAAATTCCTTCCTGAAAATTTAACCAAATTCAAAAATTATCTTGCACAGGAAACGTGGACTGATTTATATTTAGCGACTGTAGAGGAAAAATATGATGTATTTTTTAATATCCTTATGTTTTATTTTGATAGTTGCTTTCCTAAGTTAAAGTCTCGTGCCTGTTCAAAATCAAAAAATTGGATTACTCCGGAACTTAAGTTAGCTAAAGATGAAATAATACTATTAAGCCGAGAAATTAGGGTAAATAAGGATAAGTTTTTAATAAAAAAGCTAAAAGACCTGAAAAGAAGCTACGCAGCCCAACTAAATAGTACTAAACGACATTATATCGAAAGCAATATAAGAAATGCCAGTAATGTCTCAAAAACTACTTGGAATATTATTAATAGGGAACTAAACAGAAACCGAGTTCGTGAAAATGAAATCCAATTAAAAATTGGTAACTTTGAATACACTGAACCCGATGATATATGTGAAATATTTAATGAACATTTTGTAAGTTTGGTAGATAGGATTGGGGACTTGTCTTCGGGAGCTCTTGGTGCAATCTCAAATCCTGTAAATTCAGTAAAATTTTATTTAAAGCCTGTTGATGAAGCTGAAGTAGACAAGATTCTTTCTTCTTTTGAAAACAAGTTTACCTGTGGTTTTGATGAAATTCCTATGCCTGTTTTAAAAAGTGCTAAAGATGTTTTAGCTAAACCATTGGCTCATTTAATCAACTCTTCTTTCATTTCAGGAATATTTCCAAGTAAATTAAAAATCTCTAAAATTAAAACATTACATAAATCTGGTAGCAATAAGGACCCTTCTAATTACAGACCATTATCTATTTTGCCATGCTTATCAAAAATCTATGAGCGTGCCATGCATTCACGATTAATGAATTTCTTAGAAAATAATAGCTTATTTGATACTGAGCAACATGGATTCAGGCCCGGTAAATCTGTTGTCACTGCAACAATTGATTTGATAGAAACTATAATTGATGCTATTGATAAGGGTGAGAGCACTGTCGGGGTGTTTATGGATATTAGTAAAGCCTTTGATAGTGTCTGCCATTCAACATTAATTTCAATTTTAAAAAATTTTGGTTTTGCTAACAATGCTTTAAATTGGTTTCAATCTTACCTTGAAAACAGATTACAATATGTGGAAATTAATCATATAAATAACTTCAACCAATTAAGAAATGTAAAATCCTCTTTGAGGTGTATCAAATATGGTGTACCTCAAGGTTCGATTCTTGGTCCCATTTTATTTCTTTGTTATATTAAAGGTCTGCCAACAGCATTAACAGATAATATGGCAAAATTGTGTCTATATGCTGATGATGCAAATTTGTTGGTTTCTGGTAAATGTTTTAATAAAATACAAGAGTCGGCCCAAAACAATCTGTTATCTATAAAAAACTACTTAAACTTCAATAAATTATTTCTCAATTTTAATAAAACCAATTTTATGTCATTCAGTACAGCACAAAAGAAAAATCCAGAATTCTGTATTAAAGTAAATGATCTCCAAATTACTCAGGTAAAGGTAACAAGATTTTTGGGTTTATTGCTTGATGAAAATTTATCATGGTCACTCCATACGGATAAATTGTTACATAAAATTTCCTCGGGTTTATTTGCCTTAAGAAATCTGTCAAAATTTTGTTCCCTTGAGATATTGCTTAAGGTTTACCATGCACATATCAACTCACACATTACATTTGGTATTGAGTTATATGGAGCTACAAGTAATCAAAATTTACAAAGTATTCTAATCCTTCAAAAAAGGGCAATAAGAATCATGTTAAATCTGGATGATGAAGAATCGGCCAAAAAATATTTTCCTAAATTAAAAATTCTAACCGTTTACAGCTCATATATATTGCACACTATTATGCATGTGAGGGCTTCTGAAGACAAGGTGCCACTGCTGGGGGATAATCATAGATATAATACTAGGCATAAAAATTATCCATCCGTAACACAACACAAACTGGAGTTTTATAACAAGAAACCAACAGCTGCAGGTATTAAGTTTTTGTACCATCTACCAAAAGAAATATTTGATATAAAAAACATTAGGTCTTTTAAAAAAAAACTTAAATTGTTACTAATTGATAGAGCATTTTACTCATTTGAAGAGTTTTACAACATGTAATTACATTAATTAAATTTTCCTGTTTTATTTAGTTTAACAAAGTATTTTTAATTAGTAATAAGCTGTTTTGACGCCATTCTGTATTTATGCATATATTTCATGTAGGTATATAATGTATAAATCTTGAATAAAGCTTTTCTGATTCTGATTCTGATTCTGACATCTCCTTAGGTCCGCATTTATAGAGAGAAATTATTATCTACACTTGACCACGGGGACATAATAGCAGCAAACTGATGGTTTAAAAAATTTGTTCTGAAAACATGTTTTTTTATCCTTTGCGGGCCCCTATTGCTTGTGATACATCTGGCACTGAACACACTGATGTAACACTTTCTGTAAATTATATAACACATAAGATGCTGATGAAGAAATTATTTTAGTCAATAGGTGACAAAGCACAAGTAGTCTGGCTGGCTATGTCTTAATATTGTGTTTGACTTTTCAATTTAATTGTTGAATATTCAACATTTCTTTGAAAATTGTTTACTCAATACCGTATGTCACAGTCAGCACGTAAACTAATTTATGCATTTATACCTCGTCGTGGTCATTTAAGACAATTATTTGACAGAATAAAAGGCTTACAAAAAAATGTTTGGAACAAAATTTATGACTAATCATCTGCACTTTTCTCGCTGAAAGTTTTCATCTGATCAAAAAATAAAAATATCCTCGCTCACTTACTTTTTCATGTTTACATTAAGCAACCTTTTTATATTCTCCTTTATTAAAAATTACCCATCTGCACAAACTAAATGGTATATATATCGTATTAAACATCAGTTCACACAGAATTTAAATATATAAATTTCATCCTGTAAATATTTTTATTACAATTTAGACAAACGTGCGAAGCGACAGGGAACGCACCACTTCAAATAGTCTCGCGAACATCCGAACCTCTCTTCCAGCAGGTGTGTGTGCA